CAAGATTTTAATTTATGGCATGAACAATCTATAACCTTTTCCAAAGTAGGCTGATATTTTCAATGTGCAAAGTAAAACATACCAACGAACGGTGTTTCATCCTTTAGATGACTACCAAAAAGTTTCAAATATTAGAAATATTATAATGGTCCATGGATGACAAGAGTTTTAGGGGCCCCCAACAGACACTAAGACATTCCTTTTGATTTATTAACGTCATTCAGAACTAAAAGATCTAAAAAATCTGCCAAACACAATCTTTACTCATGACATAACTAGGAAGCAACATGAGCAACTATAACCAATGTGTTACAACCTGAAACTAACGAACTATAAAGCATGACCATTTAGTGCATGATGGCTGCAAAATCTCGAGCACAAAGGACGAACAGCAGGATATTAGCATTTTATCAGACTTGGTCAATGTAAATATTACTTGAAAAAAATCAAGCATCTCCTATGCTGTATGTTAGAGGGAATATCTATAACTATCAGATAACATTACCACCCTTGCAATCAATCTATCCTTGCAAAAGATCGGACTATTGATTTATTGAGCTTAGCCTTACAACTAAATTGGTTTAATATCACTTATCATTGTTTATATATATATATATATATATATATATATATATATATATATATATATATAGTCAGCTACCATACTACCTTCATCACACCTATTACCTAAGAATCTTAATGTAATCTAAGTGCAGCGACAACAAAACAAATAAGAAATAAGTATACTATTTTGTTTCTTATAATCCTTCAAAAAGAACAGGGATGTGCTAATGCCAGTTGGGATCAAATGACAGGTGTGAAGAATAACGAGCATAATAATGTGGGTTCCTCTTACCTTGGTCTGAAAGTTGACCTTGGGAGGCTTGAATGGGTAGTCAGCCGGGAAATGAATCATCACAAAAAACACCCCCCCTGCATAGGGACTGTCAGAAGGGCCCATAATTGTTGCTTGCCAGTGAAACAGATCTTCACCAACAGGCCCAGCACTGCAGGATGCTGGAGGATCCCTTTGCAAATCCAGAAGCTCCTTTTGAATACGTTTGCTAGCCATAAGGCCTCCTGAACTAGTATAGAAGAAATGAGATGAACTTCAACATCTATAAAATAGAAAGAAAATAAGCCATTATAAGTCATGCAACTCAATATTTGAACATATAAGTGCCAATAAACAATGAGTTAGGCCGCAGGTCAGGAACTTATGAGGATTCATGTGAAATGGAGTTCCTAAGCAAACTAAAATATCCAACATTCAACCAGGGTAATGTATTGACAATTCTGTGGAAGACAAAATGGTTATTTTGTTTCAGTCCAAACTCTGAAATCAACAAAGAGAAGCAGTTTATGGTAAGCTTAGGAATTATCTGATGCTAGCTTCACCTTCTATATCGTAACATCGAGTACACTACAAAATTCATATATAGCCAACAAAGAACAATCACATGTTCTGTACAGGAAATAAATTTACTACTTAGAAAATTCAACAAACCTATGATTTTATCTGACCAAAAAATTTGACAATTTGCAGGATTCCTGCTCAATATCCAACATGTATGTCTTTGTCTTTTAACTGCAGTAACTAGTACGTATGTTTTGTTCTTGGTTTTTATACCCCTGAATGGGGAAAGGAAAATAAAGATGAAATCACAACATCAACAGAACAAGTACCATGAACCATTTCATCCCATCAATGGAACTGCTATAATTTTGTAAGAATCAGTATATTTAACTAAGTTGTACTGTCTTAGATGATTCAGAAGCTGAAAAAACATAAATGGTAGAAAATTAACTTATACAGTATCAAGAAAAAACTTACAAATTTATTATGTAATATCAAGTAAAGTGAAATACATTTTCACCTGTTTTCCATAATAGCTAAAATAATATCCATTTATCAAAAGTCTAACTATGAGTACATCACCACCACATGTAAAGAATCACATTGTCATGGACATAGCTAGAATTGCCTAAGTCATGAGGCACTCTTGCAGCAATTGTCATGGGCTTAACTGGAGTTGTCTAAGTCGTGAAGCACCCTTGCGCCAACTTCTCAGACTTAGTTGGGATTCCCTAAGTCATGAGGTGCCCTTGCGATATATGCGTCCGCAAAGGGTTAGCCTAGTTACAACCTCGTGCAGGTGCCGAAGGACATATAAAACAGCAAGTTGATTAGTTTGAAAATGAGCGACGGACAAGTCATAATGTCTCGCGAAGAGGGAAGCTTTACAAGCAATTCAACGAGCACCTTGAGTGTAAGAGAGAAAAGAGAGGAAGGAACAAACAAGGACTTTAAAAGGTTGAACGAACAATTACAAATCCCCAAACAACTGCTCACCAAGTGTCGGATGCGAAAACAAGTTCTCTTCAAGTTAACGTGCAAACTTGTGAAGAGTATTCAACGCCCGACACTACCTCGAAGCCCCATCCCCCCTAGTGCCACCCGGGGGATTTCAGGGTGCTAAGATGGCTGATATTTTGCATGTAGCTGCGGCCTATAGAAAACAGATCGTGGCACGTGAAAACGGAGCCATTTTGAGGCAGTTTTGCCCGGCGCGGTGAGAGGTCGCACTACAACGCTGCAACCTGTTTGAGCTTATATTTTTACAAGCAAAAACACACAAAACCAAGACAAAACATACTACCAAGCATCTGTACAAATATGCAAAAGCGACAAACGATTCATTGAACAAAGTTGTTGCGGGTGCGTGGCGACCATTCATGACAACATGACCAAGGAAGATACAAAAATAAGAACCCAAAGGCAATTTGCTATTTATGATGAACTAGAAACTATCTACATGAAAGAAACACGCACTCATCTACTTTGTCTCCTAATTCCGATATGCTTGCAAAGTTCATGACATATGTCTACAGCTGTAAGCACGGCCATCATAAGGATGCATCCAGATGTATCATAAAGTTCTGGGCCCTTGCAAATGATGATTAACCAAAGTTATCATCTTCATCAACCAAACAAGGAAAAGAAAAAAAAAAGAAAGAGAGAGAGAGAGAGAGAGAGAGAGAGAGAGAGATTTCATTCATCAAATATGTAAAATACAATTGAACTTTGCATAATCAAGAAACCACATATTTCATCTTCAAATTTGCTGACTATAATTATTCTCTATCATATTTTGGCCGAAATTTCATTTCTCATAAGTATAAACAATTTTTCACAAACAAAAATGATATAAGCACGCTTGTGCTATGTGATTGCAGTGTCTTTGCTTTATGTTTTCGATATTTTCTGGATTTCTTTTGCGGGGTAGTTTGAGACTCCTTGAACAACTTGTATCATTAGCCGACTGGATCTCAATTTCATGTTGTTCCATTACTTCAGCATTAAGGTTACTATTTTTTTGTAAATGAGTATGCTTCATTCCAGATAAACTGAACAAAAAAAACAATACAGATTGTCCAAATAGTATTTAATATTCCTCAGCAAACAGTGAAATCGAAAACTCAAGTAATATGCGTGTTATCATGGATGCTATGATGAATCCATACTAAGAAGCTTCAAATACATGTTCATTGGAGAAAGAGTAGAGACATAGATCTATGCATATGAAAATATTATAAAGGTGAAGTAAACGAAACAAAGCACAACAGCAAATAGGATCAATAGAAACACACAGATTCAATTAACCGAAAGGAACACATCCAAAATCAAGAAGTTATCAGAAATGAAACCAAGGAAAAAAATCCGCTGACCGAAAGTTTCAAAGCAGACAAATGATCCCATCTCTCAGCTTAAGAATAACACAACAAAGTACTTAATTCACGCCTAAAGAATCCAAAAAAGCCACAAAGACAGCAGCTTAAATTTACTGCCAGAGATGAACATGAGAAAGCAAAAGAGAAGCAGACAAGATTAAACCCCATTAATGAGCAAAAAAACAAATCAAACAACTGAACAAAAGAAAACAAGGCATCAACTTTGCAAACAAAACACCGTGATACCCATCCAAGTATAAGAGGATCCAGAAATTGAAAGGATTACAAGACAGGAGGAAATCCAAGGCCGAGTTCCAAATTACCAAGTCAGCAACTTCCAGGTCTAGAGATCGACTTACCGGCTCAAGGGAAGTCAACGGGGAGGAGCTCTGATAGCGGTCGGAAGCGGAATGCCTCTCGATCTCCTTGTTGCTGCTGTAGAGGAGGATTGGGATATCGAGTCCCGAGATCGGGATAAGTGTAGCTGGCCGTCACGTGGTTGTCGGACAAGGATGGACCTTAAAAAAATTGCGGCGGATCCCTCTCTGCACACGTGGCGATGTCTCATTGGTGTTGGCAGAAGCATCCGGAGGTCAGAATCCGAAGCGAGTTGCTCCTGCCACTCGCTGAAAGGTAGTAGTAGTAAAACTGTAGGGCCAACGTACCCAGAAAATTACCTGAACCTTAATGGAGGAATATGTGGACCCACACTCATGCCTACTTTTAATCACCAGAGAGGTGACGTGGGTAAGAGGGATCACATAAGTAACACTTCATCGCTTCTCATTTCTGCTGTTTTAGGCCGCTTATCACTTCAGTTTACACTAATTCAGCAATTATATATTAAAAACAACAAGAATTTATTACACAGGTAGTATTGAACTCTGAAAATAATGTTGATGGAAATGGTACAGACTTTGCCCTGGAGATTAAGACAAACAACATCAATGGCAATTAAGATCTGACTTGCACCAAATATGAGATTGCTCATGGAACTACTCTAGCCTTTGCCCTCGGTTCTATTGCAACAAAACAAGGGTACATATCAGAACCCAGACATTAGCAGTGTTGTGTCATTAGTGATCATTGATCTCTCATTTATGCCAAAATTAAGAGGGGACAAACATAAGACACATCATCATCCCATGATATCACTTATCATTGAACCATGAAGATACATTTGCAGGTAGATAGTGATATAAGTGCTAATTAGAGCTGGTCTCCACTACAACAGGATCAACACAGGAAAACAGGCAGCTATAGAAATCTGGCAAACAAGAAAACAAGAATGTCATTGAAAATTAAAATTACATCAGAATCAACTCCATCCTGATGGGGAGCAGCTGAACTGAGCAGAGCAATAGCTACACTTTGTTTCTTCAAGTCACAGGTTCTGCATCTGAACATTTCTTTTTACACTTCAAAGTCCAAGTGCATTGAGGTTAACAGGATCAAGACTTGAGACTCATAGAGACTTTTCCCTATAAACACCCAGTCTCTAGAAAAGGACTACATCTGGTCTTATCTTTCCTCACTCTATTGCTTCTTACCCTGGGTCCATATACAGAACGAACTAGCACATGCATACAGAAGACCGACATACTTGGTACATTAAAACAGTGAATCAAGGTACAAGTAATTCCGCAGGCGACTATACTGTAAAAGACTACCATAAGTTCTATCCCATACACCAACAAAAAGAGCTTCTGTATCCGGGCTGAATGACATGCCTGAGATTTCACCAAAGAAGTCCAGCTCTTGTTGCTTGTTGTACCCACTCCCAACATCAAAGATGTGAACAAAATCTGCAGGCTCTGCCATCGCCAAAAACCGACCATCTGATGTGAAGCGAATTGATCTGATGGCACCAAGATTGCCTCTCAATACAGCAACAGACTTTGAGAGATTTCTGACATCCCAAACCCTGCAGGTCTTATCCTGGTTACCAGTGGCAAATGTTTGGCCATCGGGATTCCATGCTGATGCAAAAGAGAAGTCCACATGTCCTTGTAATTTATGGACAGTCTGCAAGAACCAAAGGTTACAAACTTATTTTCATTCAAGTCTCAAGTTTCAAATGCTCTTAAAATGTGGTGGCATGAATTATTTTTGGTAATTTTTATTATTGAAGGTTTTCATCTGCTTTTGAATTCAAAAATTACACAAGAAAATTGGTAACGATGCCACATATAAAATCAAAGGAAAAGTGTCTTTTTGATAGTCTAGGTTGTACTCATGAATCAATAAACACCTCTTCCTCCAATTTAGAAGTGACAGTTGCCACTTGTAATCACCATGATATATATATATATATATATATACACACACACACACTCATTTTTGAACTGTCGATGATGGTTCTGGTCATTCTATTCCCAGTTCTGATCTCATCATGAGCAACACTTACTACTAACCTTTCCAGTTTGAGCATCCACCAGCATTCCGTCAGGATCATCTCCCACAATTACAAGAATCTTTCCATCAGGACTAAGTGATGTATGCTGCAAAAACAACAAGACATGAGTACTTATGTGAATTATCTGCAACTAAATGAGAAATTAGTGACTGACACAAACAAAATACCCAACATCAAATTCCAGGGTACTAGCATGACAGATATGAACATGGTTTATGTCATCAAAAGTGCAGCACAACTAGAAGTGACACTAAGAACAGAGTAATGGATATCTACATCAACATTACCAGAAGTCTATGGTTGTTTCACCCTGATTAATAATTAACCAAAACAAAAGCCACTACAAATCGACCAAGCCACTTTCTTATCCAAACAACTTAAAAATAAGGAATAATCACAATAGATAAGGCTACACAAAGAAACACTTGGAACTCACATTCACTGGCCACTGAAAGTGGAAATGCTTGCAAAGCTGACATTTCTCCAAGTCAAAATCTCGTATTCCACAGTCATTATTTGAAGACATGAAGTGAACAGCACCACTGAAAAAAGTTACAGCATCAATTCAGAAAAAGTACAGATGCAATGAAATCAGAGTGCCAGGAAAGACAAATTACCTGGAACTATCATAAATGTCCAATGCGTTAGTGATTGCATTGTCATCATATGTTGTACGGCAGCAAAAGCTTATTCCTTTCCGATCTAAAAACTGTTTCCCAAATCATCAGGTAACATTATCTTTAGAATAATGGTGTAAACATATCAGCAATGTGATGCATCAGATGGAAGGCTACCACGTAAAATGCACCTCGGCAATATCAGAAATGATAAGTTTTACACAATTGAAGTTTCAAAAAACAATTTAGATATCTTTCATTAACTACTAAAGGATATAGGGATCGCACATAAGTGACAAATATCTCACTGGCTAATCTCGGAATTTACAAGCTTCTGAGCAAGAAGACAAATACAGATTGTAGCTAGATTTAAACACATTATAAGTTAGCAACTATATTAACAACTATAACTACAAAATCAAATCCAACTATTTTACATATGGAAAAAGGATTTAGGAGTATAAGTTATTTCCAAACAATTCCAACCTATAGGTATAAAAAAATATCCAATAAGATTAAAGGGCACCACACTGATATGCATGTTCAAGATGAATATATGCCATCAAAGTAATAGTAGCTTAAACATTTCTTATCAACAATTAAGAGTTTTAATCATAGATTACTTTTCATTGGCCAACACCAAGACTGCTGTAGCAAAGGCAGTTCTAATTTCTAACACATGTTGCAACACCACTAACACCTCACGAGGCATAGCATAATCCAATTAACTGGATAAGTATAGGTATCAGCTAAACTGTGAACAAGATGGCAGTGAGCACAGTTTCGAAAAAGGTTGTGGCTTAAGTCACATAAAAATCTTCCAACAAAGGATCAAAGAGTAGACACAAAAGTCTCATGCACACTACACCACACTGGATCCGTGGTACATGATCCATTGAGCCCACCAAAGCCACCCGAAGCACAAGTTTGAGGCTATCCATGGCAACGTTTGAAGTCACTAGTCGCTGATTGGACCAATGCAAGTCTGGTTTATATCGACATATCAACACATGTTATGTCAGTACATGCCACGATATCGAGAAGGAAGGAAGGAGGAAAGGAGGAGAACAAACACCCAGTTTAGCGAAGGGCAGTTTGAACAGCAGGTGGGCTGGCATTGCAAGGGACGCAAGCATCACAAGAGATAGAGATAGAGAGAAAGAGAGAGAGAGAGAGAGAGAGAGAGAGAGAGAGAGAGAGAGAGAGAGGAAAACCTAAATAAAAAAAAAAAGAACTTGAATCAGACCACACCAAACTGCCAAAAAACGGCTGGTCTATGATGGTTCATCGCCGAACTGGCATATACCACCGAGTATGTAAAGGGCTGGCC